CGAGCAAAAGACCCGAGAATTTCATTGGAATGCATTACTTCTCACCCGTCGATAAGATGCAGTTATTGGAAGTGATTACCACCGATAAGACATCGAAAGAGGCCTCAGCGGCGGCAGTGGCCGTTGGCCTCAAACAGGGAAAGGTTGTGATTGTGGTTAAGGACGGACCGGGTTTTTACACGACAAGAATTTTGGCGCCCGTTATGTCCGAAGCCATGAGATTAATGCAGGAGGGGATCACTCCTAAAGAACTCGATTCACTGACGCGATCGTTTGGCTTCCCTGTGGGTGCGGCCACTCTTATAGATGAGGTGGGAATAGACGTGGCCGCACATGTGGCCGAGGATCTGGGCAAAGTGTTTGGTGAAAGGTTTGCCGGCGCCAACATGGAGGTGCTCAAAGAAATGGTTGTCTCTGGGTTTACAGGTATTTCTTTGTTTGCCTTTAAATTTGCGATAATTTTCAACAAAATGTATTAATTTGTGTGAATAGGAAGGAAAGGAGGAAAAGGTTTCTATATTTACGAATCTGGAGTTAAGGACAGAAAGCTTAACGATAAAGCACTAGAAATACTCAAAAAATATCACATTTCACCCAAACATAAGTAATTAACAAAACGTTCATTAAATGTTTTATATTCTGTCGCATACTTACGGTACAAATGAATTGTTGTCCAACAGGTGTACCCCCGAAGAACATCAGATGAGACTCGCTGTCAGGTTTGCCAACGAAGCTGTCCTTTGTTTACAAGAAGGCATTCTCGAGAATCCGGTATTTGAATGCAACCAATGCTCTGAATTTGGATCAATTATTTGATATGTTAATTACAGCTCGAAGGAGACATCGGTGCCGTTTTCGGTTTAGGATTCCCGCCGTTTTTGGGCGGACCCTTCCGTTACTTGGATTCGTTTGGCGCCAATAAAGCGGTCGATTGGATGAAGAGATTCACCGATGATTACGGCCCGCAGTTCAAGCCCTGCCAGCTATTGATCGACCACTCAAACGACACGTCCAAGAAGTTCCACAAAACTCAATAATTCTTTGATTTGGGATCATTCGCATGAAATAGTGTTCAAAGCAATGCATACAAAT